GCATGGCACAGCACCCTGCACATCATACATGGCACGGCACAGCACCCTGCACATCACACCTGGCATGGCACAGCACCCTACACATCACACCTGGCATGGCACAGCACCCTGCACATCACACCCAGCATGGCACAGCACCCTGCACATCACACCCAGCATGGCACAGCACCCTACACATCATACATGGCATGGCACAGCACCCTGCACATCATACACTGCCTCATCAAGGCAGGAGTTAAGTTTTGGCTGTAAATAATATTGCTTGGACATCAAACAGCTGAAAAATAATAGTTTGCTATGAAGGGAATGGGGCTGATTTCTTTATAGAACTGAGAAAAATAAAGAATTAAAGCCTCACTCCATCTGCTGGCCCAGAGCCTGGCCCCCCTGCACACCAGCAGAGCTGCCCAGCACAAGGAGGGACCTGCAGCACACACCTGTGACATGTCCCTATTATTCATGGTTTTAATTTAATAGCCCTTTCTGCCCATCCTTTGCTCCTGATGTTGCCATGTGACAGGAGGGCACTGGCTCTGCCATCCTATCTGGCTGTTGCTGCTCTGTGCACCCCAAGTGACCTCACACTGGTGGCACCAGTGACACAGGGACATGCAGGACAAGCCACCCAGACCAGCTCCAGCTTCAAAGCCAGAGCTGGTGAGCTGAGCTGCAGGAAGGCTCTTACTCAGATGCTGTGGGTGAAGTTATGTACCTTCCCACTGGAAGTGACCAAGTGTGCCCACAAAGGAATTAAATATTTATTGAATTTTGTGAGGTGATTAATGCCAGCACTCTCCTTGCAGCAGAGAAACCTCAAACATGAAATCCCTGGCCCCAGGCTGTGCGTGTTGCAGCAATACTGCTGGCTGCTCCCTAAGAACCTGAGAGTGCAGCAAGAGTTCAACTAACTCCAGCCCCAGATGGCACAAGGTCCAACACTTTGGGTCTCGGGGAGCAAAGAGCAATAAAATGACCTTGACTCTGGAAGAAACAAGCAGCAGGACAGAGAGAGTGCCACATCCAGCCAAAACTGCCAACTCCCCTGCTTATCTGAGCACATCCTGGGTGCTCTTGAGTCCCAACAGCACTGAACAGCAAAAAGAAACACCAGCAGTTATTAATACCCAGGACAGGGCAGGGGGGAGCGCTGCCTTCCCAGAACGGCACCCGCCCCTTCCAGGTACTGCGGCCACATGAAGGCAAAGCCTGTGGGCTCGGCCGGGGGGGCTGGAGGGGTAACAGTGCCGCTTGCTGGAGACCACCACCCGCCGGCTCGCCCGACACCCGGGGACGGGCGGGACCGCAGCAAGCGCTCAGTGGACCCCAGACAGAGCAACTGAGCCAGAGCAGGCGTCACCGGTTCAGTGTCGGGACAGCTGGGGTGACACTTATTGGACACCGCTGTCAGTGCCGCCTGGCACCGAGCCACGCTGACTGCCGCAGCCCCGCTGGCAGCTGCTCCACCCGTGACCCCGGCGGGAGCGGCATCCGCAGGCCCCGCGTGCCCAGCCACCCCCGCATCGCCGCGCCCCGCACGGGAACGTGTCCCCGCAGCCACCGCTCCTGTCCAGGCCACTGACACAGCCCCGACGGCTGGGGCAGACTGAGAACAGCCTGACCACCTCCAGTCCTCAGCCCCGGGCATAACAACCGAAACTGGGGCACCCAGTGGCAGCAGGACCACGACAAACTCTAATGAAATGACAAGCAGGAGGGCTCTCCCTTCCCCAGTAGCAACTCCTAGGAATGAGAAATCAGGCCATTTTATGGCAGGAGAAAAAAAGAAAAAGAAAAATATTTTAAAAGGAGCTGACCCTGCTGTGGTTGGCACAGGGATGTCACCACTGACTGCGAGCACAGTCGTGGCTTCAGCCCCCAGCTGCCACCTGCTCCCCAGGGCAAGGCAGTGCAGTGACCCTGCCCCTGTTGCCCTGTGCCACCGCAAAGCCTTGGAGGCGATGGGCAGCAGATGGCTGTGGGCCATGTCAAGAGCCCAGGAGTGAGCCAGCACCTGCCCCTGGCCAGCAGCCACAGCCTCAGGAAAAGGATGTACACAAGCTCATCCTGGGGATCAGGCTGAGTCTCCTGTCAGGACAAATAGACACAAAAGGGAAGGTGCCAGGGTGGCACAGGGAGGCAAAGGGTGGAGCCTGGCATGTGAGCCATGGCCAGATCCTCTGCTGAGGAAATCCCAGCACAGAGGAAGAGAAACAGCCAAAAAGCAAACTGAGAAAGTGGCATCTGGCACCTAGAAAGGCACAGCACGGACGAGAGGAAGGACAGGAAAGCTGGAATGGAAGGGAGGCGATGGCTAGGCCCATAGGAGGGTGTTGCCCATGGAGACCAAGCCCCACGGCTGAGGGACCCCATGGCAAGAGTGGGGCAGGACGGGGCTCAATGCAGAGCCAGAGCACTGCATTGCAGGCAGCACAGTGACCAACAGGCAAGGGTGTCACAGCCAGAGAAAAACAGCGTCTGGAGGGGCCTGAGCGAGCCCTCCCACAGAGCTGGGAGAAGGCACAGCTGTGCTTCCCAGAACCCCTCGCATCCTTCCATTCCATGATGCAAAGACAATCTCCATGCTCTCCCCCCAGGCGCACCAGGGACGCTACATGTCTGAAGGCCACCGGATCCTCTCCCACACCAACAGTGCATGGAGCTTTCCTCATCCCTCTGCGTCCTCTAGTGCTGGTGGTCGGTCACAGGGCTGAGTGTGAAGTGGTCACAGAGCAGGAGCAAGGCGTCGAAGCGCTGGAGCCGCTGCAGCGCCTGTGCCAGCAGCGGGACGGTCACCGCAGCTCCCGTGTGGGTGAAGTGCGCGACAAGCTGCTCAAAGCCTGAGATCCGTCCCAGCACCTGGGGCACGAGCCCCAGCTCCAGCGCCACATGGCCGAAGTTCTTCACACCATTCAAGGAAGGGTCCAGCAAGAAGGCAAGCGACTGCACCAAGGAATGGGGCAGCTCTGCAATTAGGAGACCTGGGGGGCAGCATCACAGTGAAGCTGGGTTAGAACCTGTCCTTCCTGGCCAGGATATGGGAAAACAGAGCAGCCAGACTCCAGTCCCAACCCTGCCGAGCAGGTGTCAGGACATCCTGCCAGGGCAGGCATCTCCTCCAATATCACTTTCAGAGCTCAGCAACACAGAGGTGGCTCAGTCCCGGGGGAAGCTGGTAACTGGTGACAACCAGGCTTCCATCAGCCACTGGCTCACAGGCCACTCAAGGCAGCATCACAGAAAATGTACCTTCTGAACCAGCACCAAAGGCCACAAGTTAGATAAGTGATGCCTGGCACAGCCATGGTGGACTTCTGGAGGAGCTCTATTTCAAGAACCTGCCTCTCTGATATCCCAGTAGTCAGAGAATAAAGATGAGGCTGGAAGACCACTTACCCTTGGCTGCGCTGCTGATCTGAGTCACCAGGCTCTGGGCATCATCCACCTGGTGAGACAAAGACCCAAGGTTGGTGGCAGTCTGCTGAGAACAGCAACCCCAGGCACTGCTCCCAGGGCCATCACAGGGGCTCACAGAATGGTGCTTCTCCTCCAGCTGTGCCACCCCATATCAACAAACCTCAGTCCACATCCCTACCCCTCCATCAAGCCCAGCTCCTGTGCCTGAGCCTCGGGCACCTGGCAGCAGTTCAGAGGAGTGATGAGGATGGAGGAACTTACCGGCTGTTCCCCAAGGGGAATATCGGTGGTGGGATTTGGGAAGGTGGGGGGCAAGCGATGGGCCCCCTCCTGCACCACACCACTGCTCTCTGCTGGGATCCTCTTCACTGCCTGGCTCGCTGCATCGTCTGGCCGCTCGCTGCCCACAAACTCTGCCTGGGAGGAAAACTTCTGGAGGTCCAGCTCGGTGCACTCCACTGGTGCATGTGGCCACTTGTGCTGCAGCTCGGAGGCGCAGGAGGAGAGGGGGGCCAGGGCCTCCACCGTGCCCGGCTGGCCCTGCCTGGGGGCGGGGGGCGGCAGGACCCCGGCCAGGCAGTCCCCATGGCCCGAGGCCCGGATGAGGGGCTGGCTTTCCAGGAGGCTCCTGCCCAGCTGGGCCTTGGAGGCAGTGCTGATCACAGCGGCTGGTGGCAAGTCCATCTCTGGCTGGAGAGAGGGGAGCTGGAGACCCACAGCTTCCCCGTCCGAAATGAACTGCACTGTTTCCACAGGGCCTGGAACCAGAAACAGGCACGGCTCAGCAAAGCTCACCACGCAGCTCCAGCCTTCCTGCCTGGAAGGGCATCTCAGCAGGTCCTGGGACACTCAAGCTGGAGCCCAGCACCAGCTCCCTCCCCATGGGAAGGCAGCAAAAGCAGGTACCTTCTGCCTGCCTGTAGCAAGGGCTGAGGTTCTTCACACCCAGGCAGCAGGGACCAGACATCTGCTCCTCACACAGGAACCTGCCGGGCGCCGCTGCGGTCGGGAACATCGCTCGCTGGCCCGAGAAGTTCTGAGTCCTCAGGAAAACTTGGAGGAGAGAAGAGAACCAGCCTGAGCAAAGGCCTGGCTCACTTCCCCAGCATCTCCTCAGCCCTGTGGTATGTTTGCTGGCAAGGAGCCAGGAGCCAGCAGCTCCCTGGCATGCTGCTGGATGCCAACGTGCCCCAGCCCTGGCCACCAAACCTACTGCCCTCTTCCCTCAGCAGCAAAGAGCTGCCCAACCTGTGAAACCCCAGATGAGGGAATTGTCAGTTCTGAGTGCAAAATGGCCTTCTCCTTTTCCTCCTGATGGCACCAAGGAGGAGGGAGGATTCTTTGTGTCTTTAAGCATGCAAATCACACAAGAGGTCCTGCAGGCATGAGAAGCAGGACAAGGTGTCTATTCTGTAGGAGCCAAGTTGGGTCACTGTGCTGTCAAAGTGGCAATGCTCAGGGCAATACTCTACACAGCAAGAAGGAACCACAGGCACAGGTGAATAGCACAGAGAGGAGGAGAGCACTGACTCACCTCGCTGGCACTGGCTCTTCCAAAAGCGCTTGCAGTAGATGATGGAGAGTGCCAGAAGCACCAGGACGATGATGATCAGGGCGCTGCTGGTCAGTGCAAGAAGGGCTGTGTCCTGTGGTGGTACAGTGGGGATGGCGATCTTCACCAGGTTAGTTCTGGAGCGACCTGCAAACATCAGCCACAAAATGCTGGAGCCAAACTCTGAGGCTTGGGACCTCCCCTTCCCATGTGTCCCTCGCCACATGCCATGACTGTGCCTCCTCCAGCGGGGCTGCAGCTCCACCCACCCCAATCTCCCCCAGTGAGGGGCAACCTACACTGTGGTTCAGAGGAGGGCGTCTGCTTGGTGCAGGGGATGCACTCCCATTCCAGCTGCCCGCTGATCCGTGCTTTCCGGTAAAACCTGCCAACAGAGCAGAGGGGCTCAGCAGTGCCCAGCCCCTGGTGAGGCCCCGCCACCCTGGCTGTGCAGCCCAGCCCATGGCAGTGGGGACAGCTGACCCCCTGCTCTTGCTCAGCCGGCTGGGCCACCCCACAGCAGCAGGGCTCTCATCGCTGGCCCAAGCTGCGCTGCAGCTACTTGTTCACACCGAGCCATTTGCTAAGGAGTGACATCCCTCCAACAGCCCCTCCCTCTCTGGCCCCATGTCTGCTGAAGCGGATTATAGAGATGAGCAGCTCCCCAGAGGGTCAGGAATACCCCAGTCACAGCTGTGTCCAGCAAGAGGCTCACACAACAAAGCCTCAACTCGCTCCTGTCCCAGTCCCACTGATGGTCAGTGCGTGTCTGCAGCCCTCAGGCTTGGTGTGGGTTGGCTGTATACAGCAGTTTCATTTCAGTAACTCCTTAAACCCTTCACCCCTCTGTCCTTCTCTTTCGGGACCATCAACCATAGTGGTCTACAGCCCCTCATCTTTCAGGGCTTGGCCACCCTGGTGCCCACAGAACAACTCGGGTCTGGAAGTTTTCTTCCACAGCTGATTTATGGAAGCCTTCAGGTTCCCTTCTCTGGAGCTACAAGGGGGCCATCAGAGGGGTCTGACTTTCATGGAATGAGCAGTGTCTTCATAGAGGCAGGCCTGGGTCATCAGGCTCCTCTTAGGTCCCATGACCCAGGTAGCTTCAGATGCCACCCTGTGCCCACCCCCTCCCTGCCTGTCCCCAGGTGCAGGCGCAGTGGCTCTGCTCAGGCTGGCCCCGCTCACCCCGGCAGGCACTCCCCGCAGACCGCGTCGGCCGTCGCCGTGCAGTTGGATTTCTGGAGGCGGTTGATGAGGGCGCAGGACAGGCAGGGCTTGCAGCCGTGGTGTCCCCAGCGGTCCTTGAACTTCCTGGGAGGGCAGGCCACGCACTGCGCGTCCCCACCGCTGCCGTCACCGCAGTCCTGCGAGGGGCCACGGTGGGTTC